ATATATATATATATAATTTTTAATCATGTTAATAATTCTGCAGAAATAACATAACGAATAGACTCACATTTAATTTGCTGTTTTATATCACATCGTGTGTGACATCCACTAGCTAATGAAAAAACTTTGCCTATCGTATTAAGAGGGGACTGACTGTTCTACACGCTTCGAGATATGGTTCATTGGGCATATAGTTAACCTAGTTTCAGGTTTTTTTCCATTTTCTGATTAAAAAGGTTTGTAGGGTGCAGGCATATTCATGCGTACATCTATACTAATATTATAAAGAGGTAGAGTTTGTTTGTTTGTTTATTTGAATGCACTAATCTCATTCTCAGGAATTACTTCTCAAATTTGTTTTTTTTTGCATTAGATACCCCGTTTTTTATTATTATATATACACAGGGACGAACCCGAGCGAAGCGAGAATGAGTCGCTAGTATAATATAAGATTGAATTAATTTGTAAAATGTGTAGTTTCCCTTATAAAATATAATTATTAGTACATATTAACCTAACAGACCCGGTAGAAAGACAGCCACAAATATCCTGTCACAGATGCGTAAAACGATGTAAAGTATTTAATAATTGAGGAATATGAAAAGATTAGTTAATTAAAAATATTGAGAGTACCTGGGAGGCTAATTTAGGAACGTATGGAAGGAAGGATGATTTGTATTTGTGAGAAATTCAAAATATAGAAAAACTTAATATATTAAAAAAAGTGTGGATCTCGCACCACCTACTGGTTCCAGCTAAAACTAAAAAGTATAAACCATCCCATTTCGATGATTATTTTGTATATTTATGAGTACATAAAAATCTTCGAAATCGTTCAAGCATTTTAGGTAAAATACATAGCATATTATAAAATACTAGCATTTTCGCCCGCGTTCAGATGACCAAAAAACAAATTCTTAGGTTTTACATATTAGTATACAGTATAGGAATGAGACATTTTTCCGCGGTAAAAAGTATCCTATATGTTGACCCGGATGGATAACCAGTTATCACCATACCAAATTTCATCAAAATCCCTCCAGTGGTTTTTCAGTGATACGATAACAGCCAGACAGATAGACAAACACACAAAAATTCTAAAAACTATAGATTGTGCCTCTGTATCGATAATAATGTCTGTTTTGATAATATTTTCAAAAAAATATTTAATGTACAGATTCGGCTTAGTTAGAATTTTATTATATGTATAGATTGAAGTCTTCTTTTTAATTATTTTTAGTCTTTATCTTTTTTTTTTTTTGGACTGGGCCTGATTTATTTCCTTTAATATTGGATAGAAACAAGAAAAAATAATAAGTATCTATTACATGTGTAGGGAAAAGTAATTTAATTCACAAATTGAGAAGCATAATTTTAAAAGAACCAGAATTTACTTCGGAAAATCGTCGTCTGAACAAATATTTTTATACGGGATAGGGTCTTATTATCTCGATGGTTGTGCATAATGGTTTAAAGTGCTTCTACCGAGAAAATTATTGTTCGAAATATTTTATTTTGTGTTATTTGTTAGTGATATTGTTCTCAGCCTTCACGTAAATATGAGATTATATTTTTAAATAAATAAAAGCCTGTTTAGTAGTTCAATGAATTTTAAATAAACGTGTAAAATTTTAATATTTCATTGCGTGCGATATTATTATAATTAGTTTTTTGTCCATCTGTCGATCTAGACATATTGGAGATAAGCAAAATAAAAACTTTTTGATGATCTTTCTTTTTGGTGATTGTACAATTCTGAACTTTTTCATATACCTAATTAATAATAGATAAAATGGTTGCTAAAAAATTGAAGTAATATTTATGTATTACTATTGTTGAAAATAACTATTGTTGTTTTGTTACAGGTAGTGCGGAAGTGAAACATCAAACAAATCATAAAATATTATACAAACATTAACAAGTGAAATAGTGTTGTAACAGTGCCCTAAATTTAAAATGAAATTGTGACGTATACGTGGTATATATACTTTAGTGTTCTTTGGTTTCACCACGAGGACCGCTACGAAGCAAAGATGGCTTGGCCTGAAGTTGTGCGATGAGGGATCCGACGAGGAGGGAATGGACGAGCCGAGTGCGGCCAAGAGGCCCTCTGTACTTACTATAGATAGGGCTGCATTCCTCCTATTGAGAGTAAAGAGAGCCTTTAAGAAAAAACGACAACAGAGGAAAGAAAAACAGTCAGTATATTACTCTAAATTATATTTTTCTGCAAGTAGGTATGTAGGTATATATATATAAAACAACGGGTTTGTTACAACTCGAGAACTGCTGGACCGATTTTTATGATCTTTTTTTTTGTTTTGTTTTGTTGGTTTTGTCTTCATCTCGAATAGCAGAATAAATATTTAAATATCGTTAAAATTCACAAAAAAAATTGAAAGAAAAATCATACTAAGCATTAAAACATACCTAGAGACGAATCAGAGCGAAGAGAGGGTGAGTCGCTAGCCCACAGATAAAAGAAATATTCATAAGCTAGTAACGTATTGTGTGACGAATTTCTAAGATTTCCATCACCAGACCAACTTAGTGATGAATTTTGTACAGAAATAACAGACGCCTGTCCGTCTAAATATATTAACCTAGAAATAAATAAAGAAATATAAATAACTCGTAACATCAAATAAAAGCTTGAAAAAATCGGAGCTTTATTGTCCTTTTGTAAATGATTTTCTTTGTTGAGCATAATATATAGATATTTGTGTACACCACAAGGAATATTTTGTAAATTTATATATATAAACTAGCAGAACCCGCGGCTTCGCCCGCGTTCAATCTACAAAAAAAAACATGATTACTGCTCCGCTCACTTGGGTAGTAGCATAATGATATGCAGCCTATATACATATATAGCCTTCTTCAATACACGGGCTATGTAATGCAAAAAGAATTTTTCAAAACAGATTAGTAGTTGCTGAGATTAGCGCGTTCAAAGTAATAAGCAAACAAACAAACAAACAAACAAACAAACAAACTCTGCTCCTTTATAATATTAGAATAGATGATATCATGATTTAAATACTTAAATTAAAACGAAAACTCTTAATTACTTACTCCCATAATGCACAGAACCAAGCTTGACCAATATTTAATTTACCTTTATTTACTTTGACGTAACTGAATATTCAATGTTCAATATATTTACAGTAAAATAAATTATTTCATTCTCTCATTGCTTACATTCAGTAAATTGCGGTGCTGACAACATACTCGTACCCTTGAAATACGACTCGATTATCTCTCCTTAATGGTTAAACGTTAAGGCACAGTTATACCATAGATAACTATATGTATATAATAAAAATATATGTATTATATATTTTTATTCATATTGATTATAATTAATATTATAATTATATTTAATTTTTGACTGATTGCGGCGAAGTCCAATCCAAAGGAGGGTTATGTGTTTGACCTGTTTGTATGTATGTCCTACCCTTACCCTATGTTCACTCGTAATTACTAAACGGCTTAGCCAATTTTAATGATTCATACGTCGTTCGAATCGTCTTGATAACGTGAGTGTTATAGGGTATATAGATAACATTAAAAATCAAAATGGCGGATCTAAGGTGCTAATTTGTGTGTCTTGAATTTTTTTTCGAATTAGAAATTGTTAAATAAAACTAAAAATGTTTTATTGACAAAAACTAAAAAGCTAATTATTATATTGACAAAAACTAAAATAAGCAAATGATGTACAAAAATAAAGTTGACGAAAGAATATATTATGCACATAGTATTATGCAGACAAATGGAGGTATTTTGCACTAGCTGCGAGTCTTGTATTCGTGTGTTTCCGACTGCATAATGCTATTCTATGTTTTTTCGTCACCTTGTTCTCATTTTTTAGTTTTTTATTTTTAATTATACTTAACAGGTATGAAATAATATTAAAAGTAATACTACAAAATAACAATTTTCATTTCCTTTGCAATCAAAACTTGATATTGAAAACTGCAAATAACACTGGGAGAAAAGTTCGAACTGGGAAAAGTTTTTCAATCAAACTATTCGATAAAAATCATATAAATCAGTAATAAATATGAAAAAAACGACTATATTATATAATTACAAAGAGAACAATAATTTTTTAATTACTTGTCTCAAAAAAATCCGACTGCAAAAATTATTCTCGAAAAAATATTTGTCGAACAATTGTTTTCTTCAATTTAAATTTAATTTACGTACTTACAAAATTATAACTATAACTACTAATGAAGTTCAAGATACTATATATATTGCTCTTTATATTATGTGATCTAGATTAACAATAAAACTATGTATTGATTTTGAGAAAATATATAAATAAACGCACAAATCCAAATACAGAAGTAGTATAGAAATTATGTTTAATATTCAACTCTTAACATCTTGGCATACTCTAACTAAGAAGACCAGGAGGAAAGAGACTCTAATATGCACCTATTCTTATATAACTCTATGGAGATAAGGGACTTGAAAGTCGCCTCACGTACAGAGTTTACGTAATCCTCATTGTTGTTCCAAATTGACTTGTCTGTGGGTAAAATTCTGGAGGCGTATTTATTCGTTGCGTTCCATTACTTTCTTTATAGCTGGTGATTAGATACAAATAAGTAATATTCTTTTTAACCGACTTTAAAAGTAGAGGAGGTACTGTGTTCGATTAGTACACTTGATTTTATATGTTTTTCCCGACTTTTAGACAGTTTAAATCATGCTCAATTAAGGTTGATAATTGATTGGAAGATGGACTCATAGATTTTTTTCTTGAAAATGAGAAATTCTAGCTTAAAGGTACTAATTTGCCTCTCCTACAATAAAATATTGCTTTGTGACAATAGAACCATACTAACACAATATATGTCTTTGAAAGTTAAACGGATAATATTTTACCATCGTAAAGTTACGCGGACGTAATCGCGGGTAAAGGTTAGTTTTGAATAAAACTATACTTCGCTTCAGAAGTATTATATTATAATATTGTGTTTGTTTCAAACTGTAGTCATTGCTTGTTCAATTTCATTCGATACATTTTTGGCTTTTTTCTGAAGAAAGGAATCCTTTATAGTAGATGACGGTAGTGGTGGAACGATGATACCAGATTTGAATTTATTTTTGATTTCTTTGTCTCCTACTATTTTGATTGCATCTTTTTTATTATCAGTCACCTTTTTTTCTTTCAATTTATTAAAATCCATTGGTAAAATTCCTGTCTTCTTTGGGAAAAACAAAATTTCTACTGCTTTTGGTTTCACAGGCATAGTAGGCAAACTTGGTCTACTTTGTAAACTGTCTAGCAAATATGGTAGAAATGAAAAGCTATGAGCAGCGTTTTGTGAATTGGTAAAAAGTAGTTTTTTCTTCGGACTAAATTCCAACAGAATATGTTCTTGGAAATGTTCGTGTGAATTGCAACATAATGGGGAAGAATCAGGTTCTTTGAAGGAAAACAAGTCATTGCCAGACAGAATTTTCTTAAGAAGATCTGAAGGATAATTCTGCGCAGAATCTTTTACATATTTTAGGCTTGAGCAAGGACATGGCTCAATAAAAGTTTCTTTTTTTGGACTTAATGAGAAATCTGATCGAAGCAAGCCATCAGATTTAAATGCGTTGATATCTAAAAAAATACTCATTTTATTATTTTCTTTCTTTACATATTATTTTACTTCTTAATAATATTATAAATGTGAAAGCTTAGATGTTTAAAAGTTTGGATGGATGTTTGTTAGTCAATTACGCCAGAACGGCTGAACGGATCTACATGGGGATCTAGAGGCGAACCCGTGCGAAGCGAGGGTGTAGTATAATACATATATAGTAAATAATATAATATAGTAATACATAAATAATAAATATATAGTATTTTATATTTGCTTAGAGAATTATTTGCTTTTTACCTTCTGGGTGAACGTTAAAGTAAAATGCAAAATCCATTTTTCCAAGGTTAACAAGAGAATTGGTAACAGCAGGTAAGGTCTTGAAAGTTTTTCCCAGATCACGAGATTTTGCTGAAGATATGCAGGTCAGCATAGCAATAACTATACTGAGGGTGACCTTTATTACAACAAAAGTATCATATTATTAGTGTAACATTAGAATTGATTAGAATATAGAATACTAGGTTTTACAAATTATTCTCAAAAGAAAATTTACAACATAATTATCAACATTAAATTAATTGTATACAAAGTCAAGTAAACAAAAGTTATCAGCCTCCTTTCAATGAAATGTCTTAATTAATTTCGGGTAATCTCTCCATCTAATTGAGTCTATAAAGCTTATTTATAAGGAGCTATATAAGTTAAGAGGAATAAAAGTTCAATTATAAACTTAGACTTAAACAAAAACCTTTAATACCATGCTGATGAAGTTGAAACAAATTTTGATGAATTCGCTTGACACGAGCAAAGATCCGATTGAAATTCTGTTCAAATCTAATTCTGAACATTTCGCAACATCGATTTAGTCGTTTATTGGATTTGTGTTTTATGGTCTGGCTTGTGTAATACCGAATTTCCGACAGATCGGCACTTTGACTTTTATTTTCCTATACCAAGCCCACCAGTCACTCTATCAACATAGATAGATGAAACAAAATTATATATTTTTTACTTTATTATAATAATAAAATATATTATATTAGTTCTTATTATTATGTATTTGTCAAAATAATTCCAAATTAAAATTATTATTATAATAACTACACATACTAAATTTCATGAAAATCGTTTGAACCGTTTCCGAGATTATATATATTTTGTTAGTTTAGTGTCTAATTATGTGATACCAGCAACTTTTATTCGAACTTGATCTCTATTTTTGAACACATGTAGCTTAATCCCGCAGTTATTTCATGATAATTATTTTTCAAATAAGTATGGCAAATGCAAGTTTTATTTATATTTAATATTGCAAAATTCACGATATAACATTGAATGATTCACGATAATATAAGAGAGAGAGTGTGTTATTTTATTTAGACTATATATTAGCTTTTGCCTGCGGCTTCGCTTATATTCTACTAGTGACTTACACTATATGTACCTACTACCTATATCTGTATGTATGTATAACGTTACTACAGTTAAATCTTTTTAAGAGGAATAATATTTCATGTACTCTATTGTTTTACACAAAACTATAATGAATTGTACACCTAAACCTTACTCATGGATCACTCCATCTATGTGAGAATACCGTACGAAAATACAAGTTTATCGCGTTCAGACAGACAGACGCGGTGGGTGACTTTATTTTATAATGAGTATTGATCTGTAAATTCAGAATATTATAAATTCTCTATTCTAACAATTATATATTATTTTAAATTTTAAGGTTATTAAATTAAGCCGGTGCTTTAATAACAGTGATGTAAATAACATTGAAAAACTAATTTAGAGACATAGAAATAATAATTTTACTATATGAACAGATTATTGCCCTTCGTACAAGAGCATTCAACTTGCCTGTTACGTCTGTCCGCATGTCTGAAAGTAGTGATTCCACTTCAGTAGCTCATAATAAAAGTATGATGCCGACTCATATGTAAGTTATTCACTCTAGAAGTAAATCTATACTAATATAATATAGCTAATGAGGTTGTTTGTTAGTTTATTTTGTTTGAGTGCGCTCTGGAACTACCATTTGATAGCCCAATTCTTGAGGAAGGTCTTACATAACGCTCACATATTTTGTGATGGAACAATCGAATCTAATAATTATACATCAATATATTATGCGAACGGAGCCACAGGACAAGCTAGTATTATATAAATTACTTAAATATTAATGTTGGGTGTCGTTTTAATAGACTAGTAATTTTGCTTGGAAATTACTTTAAAGCATTTGGTATTTTTAACCGACTTCCAAAAAGGAGCACGTTCTCAATTCGTCGAAATCTTTTTTTTTATGTTGTACGATGTAGATTTTTGCATTCGATATTTTACATTTTATTCAGAGTAAATAAATATTTTTAACCCGTTCCATGTCTACTTTAAGCATTTTTTACAACTCCATTCTCAACTTGTTTCATTCATATTAAGACAGTAGGGTTTTTTTTCAAATTCACCAATATTAAAATATATGAGAAAAAATAATTCTAGGAGTTTAAAAAAAAAGCTAAATGGCCGTAGCAAATTTATACTGCTAATTTAATAAATAATATAGAAGGACATCGTTGGTGGGTTTCTTTTCACAATTTAAGTGGACATTTAAGAATATTGAATAGTTCTCAATAAATGTAATATTTCCCGAAAAACAAATAGTTTTAATAAATATTCCTACAACGTTAAGTAAAAGCTATCAATCATAAACAATAATTTTATTAGATGCCTGTAAATATCTTTTAATGCTCTAAAGAGACCGTACTTAAACGTTTTCTGTTTTATGGTCCATTGAAGTGTCCCAATGAGGTTTATCCCTATTTTGAGAGGAATGCGTGTAGCGGGCTCATGTTGCAGGGACGATAAAATTCATTTAAATTGTATTTATTTATAAACGTCGATTTCAGTAACGGCTCGTAAAACTCCGTTTGCCTTATTGCCAGTTGGAACAGTTAAACGCACGAATGGCACTCACGTATTTGCCACTCGCTATTCTGGTATGTCAATTATATGATACATGTTTAAATTTTGTTATTATTGTATAGTAATTACTTTCTTTAAAATATTATAATATTATTATTAAAATAAAGCACAATTTGCATTTAATGATGTATTCTTCTTTCTTCTATTAGAGTGATGTTGACTCTCAACTTGTTTAAGGCTATGTACAGTTGGTACGAAATATCTGATTAGGCACTTATAACAAAGTAAATAAAAATCACCAATCATTTACATCGTAATTTTTTGTACCTTCAAAAAATGCTTCTTAAAAATATTTTATTGTACTTTTATGTATAGTTGCACAAAATTCAAAATGTTAATATTAAAATTAAGTTCCATTTTGTACTGAAATGTATAAAAAATCACGAATAATTGTGTTACTTTTAATTCTTTTTATAGTCTTCTCGTATATTTGAAGCAAACTCACTAAGTTTTCCAACCCTCGCCAATGTCAACTGTAAATTCGTTTAAAATGTAAATCAGACAGAATTTGCTAAACGTCTTAACAATGTTGAGAATACAAATGATGTCAAGTGAATTGATTCACAGAAACACCCGCCCTTCCACAAATAATGTTCTTTTAACAGACCTTTTTTTGTCAAGTGTGGTCTTTAAATCTTATGTTATTCTATTTTTTTGGTCTGTGTTATGGATACTAAATAGTTGATACTCTACACATATATAACTTTAAATACATACGTATTATATAGTAAATAACAAAGTTAAAATGCTTAAACATAATAATTTTTTAATATATATAACAGGTACTATCGAGTAGTGTTGTGAGTGGCGACATTAACAGCACTGTCGGTCCTCCAACGCTTGCTAAAGCAAGCTTAGACCCCAAAAGACGAAACGACTTAGTCGATGAAGCATTTTTAGAGCAAAAGGACATCTTGTTAGATATGGTAACTAGGTTAGGTTTAATGAGTAAACTATATATATGCACATGGTTAAAATTGTCAAAAGGTAATACAAATAAATTTATACAAATATAATCAAACTTTTTACAGCTGGAAGCAAAACTAAAAGAAGTACGTGATAAAAAGAAGAAAAAGACAGATCATGTTGAAAGTAACATTACAGTTGTAGAACCTATTAAATGTGAAATATTACCAAAAAGCGCAGACTTAGATATAAAGGGAAACGGTGTAATATCAGTTGGTGAAGCAGATGTACACTTAAAGTTTGGAGAGTTTGGTAATTTAATTTGCTAATTCGACTTAAGACTGAGATATTTTATTGTATATCACTATACAGAAATATAAATTTTAGGAAATAGCACATTGAATTTTAATGCTACTGGAATATCTAATATAGGAAAAACTTATGTCAATTTAGTAATTGGTGATGGTACATTAAATATTCCTAGATTAAAGGATATATTTTCTGGTGAGTTTATAAGTAGTTTGCTTAATAGTAATTCTGATATTTAAATGTTTTCCTTTACCGTGCGAGACATGAGATTTGAACCCGTTTTACTGGGTAACGCATGCCAACTCAAGCGATCGTGTTACCAGTGGGCAAGCCATTGCTCACGGCGTAAGAAAGCACCTACATATTTGAGAGAACCTAATAAATTTTCAATAGACATGTGATGTCCATCAATTCGCACTTGGCCAGTATAGTAGACGGTGGCAAGGGTTGCCCGTGCCCAACAGTGGAACGTCAAAAAGGGTTGAATAGAGATAGAGTTAGATCTATGTATATAATAAAATTCTAACTAAGGCTAATCTGTACTTAAAATATTTTTTGGAAAATCTTATTTAGTCATTATTATCGATACAGAGGCCGAATCTATAGTTTTTAAAATTTTTGTCTGTCTGTCTGACTGTGACCGCATCACGGAAAAACCACAGGAGAGATTTTGATGAAATTTGGTACGATGATAGCTGGTTATCCGGGTCGACCTATAGGATACTTTTTACTGTGGAAAAATATCTCATCTCCGAGAAATCTATACTAAACGTTAAAACGTAAGTAGAGACGAACCCGAGTGGAGCGAGGGTGAGTCGCTAGTATTTAAATAAATAAAATCGAAAAATGGTATATTTAATGGTATATTTAAAGGTTCACCATTGATCAGAAATCCTTGTGAAAAGCAAGATAAAATAAGAAGTCCTACAGGAAATAATAGTAGCGCATATAATGTTAACCTTAATGAAAGTATATTTAGAAGAAGCCTTGAGGTAAACAATTCACTTGCCTTAAACAATCCTGGTAATACAACTGGCAATACTTTATCTACTGATGAAACGAATAAAATTGATGACGTACCAACGACAATATTAGATGGAAATTTCACAACTCAAGATAATGACAAAATTGATAATAATTGAAAAAATATGTATTTGTAAATTATATAATAAATTATAAGTGTAAATTAATATAATAAATACTTTTAATCTTTTTCTGTAAAACAAATTAAGTTATTATGTTAGTAACTTGTACTTTTAATTGGTTATAAATAAAATATTTAAATATCTAGAGCTGTAAAATACTTACAATTCAATATCAAATTTTCTTACAAAATTTAATAAAGTTTTATTAAAAATCATTGGACAAGAATCATAATATAATAATATTGATATGTGAAATAAAAATATTGTATAAAAAGACTATAATCTATAATATAAAAATGAATCGCTGAACGTGTTGGTAAGCGCAAATCTCGAGAGCAGCTGAACCGATTTCGCTAATTCTTTTTTTAGAATATTCCTTGAAGTACGAGGAGAACCATTTCTTACGGAGAGAAAAATTTAAAAAAATGCCTGAAAAAGTCTAAAAACAACACTTTTCTAAAGTCCCATACAAAAGATTCGTAATAATACTTAAAAGTCAATTCAACTTTAATACCATAACATAAAGTTTATGTGTTAGTGGAGAGGTTCCGGGAAGGCAAAACATTGATGGCAATTGAGAGACGTGAATCGTATAAATATTAACGTCAATATTTGTCAATATTATTAACAAAAAAAATGTATATGGCTAACGCTGTTAATAACTATTTACATCTATTTAAAACGTACCTAGCGACAAACCCGAGCGAAGCGAGGGTGAGCCGCTAGTTTCTTATATAGTTAACGTTCAAATTGCTGCAATAATGGGTTACAATGTTCAAATGTTTTTGTAAAAATGTAAGTAAACTTGTAAATGGAAAAGAAGAAAATGTGGTCTTAATGTAGGTTTGAAGTATAATTATTATTAAATTAAATATTTAACTTAACATCTGTGCTTACTAAATAATTAAATTTATGGGAATATTTCATATTAAAAAAAAAACATTTTTTCCGATTTTTTTTTATTTTTTTATTTATTTAATCAATTATTTCAGGCAATATTTACAAATGGATCTTAAATATGTAAACAGAGTCCCATAGCATATATACCTTAAAACTAATTTTAGCGTTGTTTTATAAATAAATTATAATTTAGATTTTTTGTTTCCAACATTTCGAATGCTTATTGCAGACGCATCGCGGGATTAATTATAAGTAGTAAATCGTTCAAAATGTCCGTCAAAATACCGTGAAAAAATTCACTGCCTTATAGTGCTTCATCGTCACTTCACTGAATAAATTTGTAGATAGTTTGACAAAACTAGATTCCATTTAAGATGGATATATACTTTACATTTATATATGTAAGTCCACACATGGTATAAAAAAGTTAAATTAAATTATATGTGGACTTCCTGTCATGATTTTTAAGAAAAGCATAACGATCGATCTAGAAGATCAGAATTACTTATATAATACTTTAATTTTTATAATTAGTCGGATAAAGGATTTAAAATTTAGCTTTTTGAGATATATATTATTCCAAAATCTGTGAATGCAGTTCAGAATATGTCAAGAAGTTATGGATGGTCTCCTAGGAACGTTTTCCAGTAACTATAACAGTTAAGGTACAGTTTTTTAAAAATGGGAAATGCATTTACGCATATAACCTGTGGACATACAGGTGGTTATGTGCGACTCACCGGCTAGAAAAGCCAGTACTACCCACTAAAACCCAACAAAACCTTCCTCCGTCTTAATGGAGCGTCGCAGGATCGCTTACGGACTCAAATACGATGTTCAGACGGCAGGCCTGCCGAAGTTGACCACAACAACCACGGGTTTGCTTCACAATCCACTCTTCTATCAGAGAAGTACCAGGAGCAACCCGCATGGTACACCGCCCACCGAAGTGGGCCACCTCCCACCGCCCACCGAAATGCTACTGTAATAACTATTTTTGCTCGAACCTAGGACCTCACAATCTCCACCACTCGGTGCCACTAAGAGACTAGACTAACGAGTCAAACCTACGCACTTGTACATGATTTTTTACTTTTTTAACTACGGCGTTTATTTTTAAGTAGAGAATTAAAAGCTTCAATAAATGGACTTAGGATTATATTAAATATTTAACTAAGATACAATTCATAAATATAAACCACTAAAACTCGTTACAGTTTATCCCGGATAAACGGGGTTTGTCCTGCTGCCAATTTATAAATTATTCAGCATTGTTTGTGTCAACTATATATTTTACTAATATAATATTTATAATCTATTTAAAGTTAAAAAACATTTATTACTTTATATTATCTGCTTTCGTTCCATGACTCCTCTCACGTGTTAATAATTTAATATACATACTATAATAACCTCCCGAAACCATAATTCATTACTGAAATTATGACATTAAAATCAATACATAGTACTCATCTATACATATAATAAAAGTGTAACTGATTGCTGTCTGTACATGGAAGATATTTGAGAAAAATTATCATTGGGGTCTTTTTTTACGCAATAGAACCCAAAACAATGATTTTTAGATTTTTGTCTGTTTGTTGTTTGTCTGTTTGTCTATGCGTTTGTGAGCGCTAATCTCAGAAACGGCTTAACCGATTTGGATGCGGTTTTCACTAATATATTGTAGTACGCTTCACTTAACATTTAATATTTGTTTTATTTCAATCGGTTCATAAATAAAAAAGTTACGTCAATTTAAAGTATCACCTAGGGACGAAGCCAAGCGGAGCGAGGGTGAGTTGCTAGTTCTAAATAACAAACAAGTATTCCAATTTTTTTTATAAATTTTTATAACTAAAATACTACTTTACTTCCAGTAACAAAAAGTCACGTTAAGGATGTTCAAATATTTTTCGCTTTTATTTTCTAGAGTCACGGTTCTTACTTTTTAAAATATTTTGTATCATTATGTCGGACGGTCATTCGTATTAAATTTATCCCTAGGATTTTCTTGTTCGCCAGTGGACATTTATTTTGCACTTTAAACGGTTTTACAGAAAATGTTGCATCATACTTATAAAAATTTCATGAGATGTTATTTTATAGCAATAAATAAAAATAATTTCTGAACTCTATCTACATTTAAAGGGAAAAGTTAGTATAGGGAAAAGAAAAGTATAGTATGTTATCTATGTCTATACATGTAATAAAATTTTAACTAAGTGGATTCTGTACATTGAATATTTTTTGGAAAATCTTATTGAAATAGTCATTACTATCGATACAGAAACCGAATCTATAGTTTTTAGATTTTTAGTCTGTCTGTCTGTCTGGGAACGCATCACGGGAAAACCACTGGACAGATTTTGGTGAAATGTGTTATGATGATAGCTGGTTATTCAGGTCAAAATATAGGATATTTTAAACTGCGGGAAAATATCTTTGGAAATACTATTCTAATTGTTAAAATGTAACCAGGGTCTATTATAAAGATAGTACTGGGCGATCAAGTTTCGCTCGGCGGGTTTCGGAAAAACATAAAAAATGTGTTTTTTCTGAAAGAACACTTATATATAGATACATTTAAAAAGGTAAACCTTATCTAAATACAAAATTTAATGAAAGCCGTTAGAGCCGTTTTCGAGATACACGAAATAAATGTAAACATATATACATAGGCAAGAATTGCTCGTTTAATTATAATATATACAATATATACATATATATATATATATATATATATATATATATATATATATATATATATATATATGTATAGATGTATATGATAAGTTTTTTTATAAACTATCAAAGAACTGACCATCGATTATAATATGAGTGTAGGTTATAACCCAATATATTACGATCGCCATCTCGCACGAGTGAAGTAGCAGATAAAAAGTAGTCATTAAATTTGTTTATACGTTTTTCTTATTTTTCTTGTTATTACCACGGTAATGCTGTTATCTAACATTATCGTGCATTACTGTTCAATAATTGACATTCTTATTACAAAATATTTTAAAATGAGCATTGAGCACTGAACAAAATACGAGCGTTTCTAGTTCAATGAATATAATTTATAATATGATATGATAGGATTGTATGATATAGACTATATTATATATTAAATAAAGTTTTATGTTACAGATATAAATAATAATAAGTTTACGAAGATGTCTGTATGTTGTACCCGACCATGTTAAACGTTGGACGGATTTAGATGAGACGCACAGATCATGATCCTGGAATTATAAATTAATTAATCTATACATATAATAAAATTCTAACTGACCCGAATCTGTACATTAAATATTTTTTGGAAAATCTTATTGAAATAGCCTTTATTATCGATACAGAGGCCGAATCTATACTTTTTAGAATTTTTGTCTGTCTGTCTGTCTGTTACCGCATCACAAAAAAACCACTGGAGGGATTTTAAATAAAACTATATTATCGGATTTTTTCACAGATTTATTTGGATTTTTTGGTTCCCGACGTTTCGAATGCTTTACAGCAATCATGGTCACGGGAGAGACTGAGGTGTTAGTTGTCTCTAAGATATAGTATACACACAAATAACAAAATGAAAATTGTACCAATTACCTTATTTTTTAACTTAAAACATTTTTATAATTTTTATTAGTTTTATAATTGAATATGGGATATTATTTATTTTATTTTTGCTGTTATTATTATAATTATTACAATTTTAAAAATATTAATTAGTAATCTATATTTAGTGTTGCCATTATTATATTTATAACCGTAAAGAAAAAATATAAAATATAATATTAATTATTTAAGCCATATAATTGTTCTATGTATAATTTAAAAAAGTTAAGATTAATTAAGGATAATAATTTTAATTTTGTTTGCTATTATTTAAAAAGACAAATTACCAAGCAACACTATTACTATATACTTCTATAAATGAAAAATGAAAAATATTTATCTGAAATGCCATCAGCCATGGCTGAGTACTACCATCGTCATGGGATCTTGTTATTAATATAATAAAATCAAATAATAAATCTAAACATAACAGACAGGTAGATGTAGTAAGTTCATTTTTAATTATTAATAATTATTTTCTTCAAGTTCGTTCTTTTCTTATTCTAAACTTATCAGTTGATAGAGCTTAAGAAGGCCAATATAATAAATAGAAGGAAACTCCTTTTCACACGGAAATCAGGGGGCAGAAACTAGTATTTTTATGATATTAATATTTATATATCCTATTGGCGCAGTGCGGCTGCAGCGGCGGCGGCGGCGGCGGAAGCGTTCGTGGGTCGCCGCGGGCCGCCGCCGCTCTTACGCTCGCGGACTCTGCCGGCCATCATCGCGCCTGGCTTCTCCATACTGCACGCACAGATAGACCCACAGAGAACTACTGGTAAGAGTAATTTTTATTTCGTAGCTATTATTGTAATGTATTGTAAATAATATTATTTTAATAATCAGTGATATTATTCAGATTAATAAAATTTATAAATAGACTACTATGTATTATAAGTTAGGAAGTTTGTACGTGTGTTTAAGTAAGCTTACGGTGAAGCCGTCGGACGGATACAGACAAAATTTTGTACACATATAGGTTATGACCTGGCACTTAAGGACACCTCAGCAGAGCGAGGCTAAATCGTTAATATATGTAGTATAGTCATATTAATGATACAATATGTTTGTGTATTATAATTTTTAATATTATTATATATTTAAATACGAGTAGATTGGTATACTTGTCTGATGTAAATTCATATTTATTTATAAAGTAGTATATATAGGACCAGATTAATGTTTTTACATCATAAATATTAAAGCAGGGTGACCTTCTGTCCCAAAACATTTTACAGGGACCCTGTTACAGAACTCATTTTATTCAGTTATTGGACGTACTTATGGCAGAAAATAGTAATAATTGTATAGAATAATTATATTTATTAATATAAAAATTACATGTAGAATCGGATTTATAAATTTAAATTTTCAAATCTTAAGGTATTCTAAAAATAGAAGTATATTAAATTTCAAATCAAATCAAATCAACCACTTTATTGCGAACTTGGGTTAGTACATACATTTAGATTTTGATAATAATATATTTAATGTTCAGCCAAATTCCGCCTTACAGCATGCAATAATTCAATAATTAAAATATACATAAAATTATAAATGTTACAATTTATCTATAATATAATCATTATTATAGTAATATGTCTTATCTAATAAGCATTTTTACAATCTTCGCAAAATAAATGAATTTCATTAATTTCTTGTCATATCTTTGCTAAGACGTCGAAACCTTACATAGAATTTTTAGAAATTTGTGAGGGAATTCCCGTTATTTAACTAGTTTATGTACAAAATATTGTAATCATATCGGCTTAATTCAAAAGCGGCATCTTATTTGCATGAGGTAATAGAAAGGTTTATAGCATGGCCTCGGTTTAAGCTCCGCAAAGACGGTGTTATCCTTACTAATTAGGATAACAATAACTTAGCATACTAATTAATACTGGATAAATGAGACTTGACATTGTCTCGTTACACTTTCATCAAAGGTAAACGGTCTATAATAGTCTTTGTCCGTGAAAGGAAAAAAAAAATTACAATAATCTATACATATAATAAAATTGTAACTAAGTCAAATCTGTACATTAAATATTTTTTGGAAAATCTAATTGAATTAGACATTATTATCGATACAGAGGCCGAATCTATAGTTTTTAAAATTTTTGTCTGTCTGTCTGTTTGTCTGTCTGTCTGTTACCGCAACCGAGAAAACCACTGAACAGGTTTTCATGAGATTTGGTATGATGATAGCTGGTTATCCGGGTCAACATATAGGTAACTTTTTACCGGGGGAAAATATCTCATTTCTGAGAAAAAATACAAAAACTGCATTGTAAGAGTATACTAATATGTAAAACCTAAGTATTTGCTTTTTGGTCATCTGAACTCGGGCGGAGCCGCGGGCAATGAATTAGCCGCGTGTGGTTTAAATATAACGGATTTTCATAAAAACTCTCCGTCCCTATTATACCTTTTTGCTCACATTTCCAAAAATTTCTTACGAGCGGAAGGATGCCTGTCAAATATTAAGTTTCTGCTAATTGACTTGTTTTATACTTTTTAAGTATTTAGACAAAGTATTTATGAAGATTCAAAATCTTACGCTTTACTTATAAAGAAACTCAGTTATTGTTTCAATATACGTACTAATTCAGAAGTATAGTGACACATTCGGTTTTACAGCTCGTAAACCTACTGCTAGTCTTCAGGTCTTGAACTATCGCAAACAACTAATAAAATGTCAAGTGCTTAGGTTTATTGCTTGTCTGTAGAGCTTTGTTTATGAGGCTAATTGTTCTATAAATAAGGATACTCGTATAATTACTTTTAGTATCCATTTAGTTTACTATACTCAGACCTTTATGCCAACATAGCGTTAGAATAGAGATGATAATCTACGTCACAGGTCTTGTGTTTGATTCCTGCTCTCGCAATCTCATCCATAAATACTTTTATTGCCCATATATAACTACTTATCACTGGGTGTCCTTACTGTGAATGTTTTACAAGCCCCACTTAGGACAATCTAACGATGATCGTTGAGATCGCAGCGTTTTTTTTTTCAAATAAATGTTATTAGTTTAAAAGTCCCATGTGGGATCTTAGAAAATGCTCGTAAAAGAAAAGAAAAAGGCAAATTTCCTTGCATATTTGAGGAAGTTTCATATATCGTCTTAGACGTGACAGAAAACAGAGGTTGGATCTTTAACTATTTTATACTTCTAACTTGGTCGTAGCTTTTTAATTACATTATGTAGAATTTATTTAAAAGAAAACACAGTAAAATTGCAAATATACTTCTTGATTATGTACACAAAACACAGTACAGTCTACAATTAAAAATTACTATACAAGTCATGTAGATATGTATCGAATTGTATATATTATATGATTTAATTAATATCTAATGGATTATTACTATAAGTTATTGGTTTATTTTATTTTAAAGTATTAAAAAGATGGGGAACAAAAATCATAATATATCCGAGAAGGAATTCAAAAAGATACTTTTATTTAAGAATAGACTATCATATCAATCTATTAAAATTTCTATAGTTCATTTCAGAATACAGAATCTTTACTAAGCACAATTACAAAGAAATCCAATTTTTGATGAACAGATTATCTAGATAAAGCTATTGATAGCATCAAGGATACACAATCAGCGACAAAAAATGTCCTTATCGAATAAGCGCTTATTGAACATTTGAGCGCGCTTTTCATTTTTTTTTTTGAAAACAACTTTAAGTTTTGCATTTAAGGTTCAATTTACATTTTGTATATATTTCAACTAGAGTAAATACCTAAACATAATTTTTGACAGTTTTAAGAGAACTTTTGAATGGGATTGTGTATCTAGGTACACTTTACTTTTTTGATCGATGATTTATTGGTAGCATTGATTCTGTTGAGTTTTAGTAAGAATTGTCAGCGCCTTTTTCATTCGGTTATTACCCATGATAAATTATTGAAAACCTACAAGAAAATGCCTAACGGTCTTATAGGTCTTATGAAAATAATATTTTCCCATATATAGTAACTAATAGTGCTATAATAGTTCAGTCATAAAGGCTTATGGGGCGGTTTGGAACGAGTTCAAAAGTATGCCCTCGCGTGCTCTAAAGCTGTTTCGCCGGCGTTATCCAGACGGCATTAAAAAAGCACGCAATGTAAAGGAACTTACAGACAAATCGATTGAATCTTATCTCTTAGGAAAATAATAGATAATATTTTAATATTCATTTATTTCTTACAATATTGTATCTAAGCAAGTTTTTTATTAAATATGGGCAAGTATTTTATCATAGGAATGGATGCTTAATTATAAAATTAATAGCAATTAATAGTAACCGCTGTTTTACTTAGACATTCATTAGCCCAGCGCGCCATCAAGTATTTTTTGCTAGTCGCTAAGCAATAGGTCGATGGATATGCTATATAACTGCTTGAAATTAGGCCAAACAATCAAAAACACACTTTCACATTTGTTCTAAGTAAACATTGAAAGCCATTATGCAGAAAGCTTCAACATTGGTGCAAGCGAAGATCATATAGCCTAGTGGCGCATGATGGCTTACATAGCCTACTTAATACTAAAGGTCGCAGGTTTACTTCCTTCATCATCAATCCTCATCTACGAATTCGAATTCATCTTTGCATTATATAAAAATTTGAAATCGAATTCGAATTCTTTCGAATGTTTGTTTGTTTCACGCTTGTCACAAATTTCACTGAGTATAATTGGTGACAAAAATCGATGTAAGGACTTACAATGATATTTGCGAATTTACTATGATATTGTCTTAGTATGGGGCTTATTAAGATGTTATTTTACAACCATTGAAGAATAAAAATCTCTATAATATATAGGGAGTAATATATTGTGATTCTATAACATAGCGATTAGAGTTTTTTCAAAATATTCTAAAATGTTTAATTTACGTTCTAAGCCAGACCTAAGCAAGGTCTTACAATAACATTTAAAAAAAATGCTATATGTACGTAATCACTATTTTTTTACCTAAAATAGCCTTGTGTGAAGGCAACTTAAAGTTTAAAAAGAAGTAAAGTTGTAAATAACACTCCATTACAGACGTTCAGTTAACTTCGTATTTTAAAATCCTTGGATTTTTAACCGCATCAGTTAAATAAACTCTATTCGGATGGTACGAGCGATAACAATTGTTATCTATAATTAAAAGCTTTCTCTAAGTAAATTATTTTAATATGATGGTCTTGTATTAACGCTTTTATTTATAAAGTAGCTTTTGCCTGGTTCTACTCGCATTGTTTATCTATATATAAATAGGCAAAGACAAAACAAAAAACGGTACTGAACCTTTTTCTCCTGTGTTTTTAACCGTTTTTTTTGTTTTGTAGCTATTGACGACTTACTACTATCAATAAAAAAAATAAAAAAAAATCTTAATTATATTGTTATCAATAAAAAGAATTTTGATGACCAGGAATACTAGTTTATGTCATTTTACTGTACTCTTAAATATCGTACAATATCGTGGCGTTAGAGAGCCAATAACTTACTAAATTTTGTAGTGTAATGATATACATATACATTCTTTAATAGATAGGCTAATAAACTCAAAAATATTTTTTCTAATCGAACTAGTTCCAGAGATTTACGCCTTCAAACAAACAAAAAATATATTTTGTAAGGGATGAAGGAAAGCTTCTTTATTTGCTTTTAGTAACTTTTTTCGCAGTCTTAAAAGGAAGTACCTAACTACCCATAAATATAGCGCCTGAATCGTAATAAACTACATTTTATTTTTATGGCTCATTACGATGACAATGCACAGATTT